AAGGCTTAAGAGGATGGTTTCAGCTTCATTATTAGATGGTAAGGAATTCATAATCAACTTTTACTCATCTTAGTACCCCTCCCCCCACCATTAGCTCACATAGTAAGCAAGCAAATGAATACTTATTGGATGAGTCAGCTTCTCAGACGACCTGTGAAACAGTACATACATGTCCATTACAGATGGGCAATGGATGCATACTTTTAAGAACTTACTAAAATGCATATGATATAGTGGCAAAACTGAAATGAAAGGCCTGATCTCAACCCAGACAAGTAAGTTTCTGTTCCACATCAATTTAAGAACTGAAATACATGACTGACTTTGAGAACAGTATTTGACATCTCTTTTTCTCTGAAAATATCCCAAGTTTAATGTCAGGATCACTTTGCCTAAACCCACAATCACTGTTTTCATCCTATAAAATAATCCACTTACTCAACTAGATTCATGTTCTTTGGGCAGCATGTTAATTCACTTTTAAAAGCATAAAAGGAATGCCAGTCTGAAAGAAGTCCCAAGTTTCCTAAAGAGAAGTCATAGGAAATAGTGAGTTCATTAGGCAAAATTTGAAAAAGCCCACTAATGGTATAACTGTCTGAGAATGTTACCCATCTCTCTCTCCTTCAATCAGTACTATTTCCACTACCACTGATTAAATGACACTGAGTTAACAGGGGAAAAATAGAGTGATAACTATTTCTTTTAATCGCTTATTAGAAGATTAATTTAATCAAATGACACAAGAATCTTTGATGGATACTTTGGTGTTAATGGTGTTTCTTTCTTTTGTTTGGACTTTCCATGGTTTATTTAATTTGGAGAAAGTTGTCCAACCTGAAATGCAGATTATCCCTTTGCTTAGTATATTAATTATTTAACAAACAGAAGACATTTCTTCTAGTAGGAGTTAGTTCTTAGTACTAAAGCAAAATAAAGAAAAATAAAAAGGATGTAAATTTATCATTGTTAGTACTAAAGTACTGCTAACTATGTCAGTTATGATCTTAAGTGCAAATTGTGGCATCAGTCAGTAGTTCCCAGAATAAATCCAGTCACTTTCACATTCAGAACATTAGAACACGTCCCTTTGAAAGTGAAAGAACACACATAAGCCACATTTTAAAATATCTCTTCAATAAGTCCTATTTTAGAAAACAAAAATCAAAAACACCCTTCAGGAGTAGTTTACTTAGTTTGTTGATAATTTCTCCCCTTCTAGTCTTCAGCCTTTAATACCTCTTAGGGCAAAATAAAATTCAAAACAATTTGAGTGCTTACAAAGAAGAGTGAAGCTGAAGAATGGAAAATACTGGTTCAATTAACATTTCTGTGAAACTGGGGATTTTACCCCTATGTTCACATTTTCCATTTGATAGGAAGGAAAAAAACAAGCGCTTGCTCCAAAACAGGAAAAAAAGGGGGGAAAAAAAAGAAAAAACTTCTAGAACTAGAACTAGGTCACGGTTTAAGAAAAAAAAAAAAACAGGCTGATGAATACTACCATAAATTAGCCAACCATTTTATTATAGAGTATATATTTATATCAAAAGCACAAAGAGAGTTTTATTCTGAAAACCAGGAAGATTGTGATGTTATGTATGTATGATTCAGTAATTCCAGTCCATTTCTATGGGTACTAAGTGCCTTATTACCTTAGTTAGTTAAAACAAGGAACAAATGGGTCAAGGTCACAGGTCTCATCACCATTTGGGTCCCTTAGCATTATTTGGTTTTTCAAATTGAGACATGTATTCCAAATCCCGTTTAGTCATCTTCTGAATGTTTGCTACCACTCTTAATGGGACTGAGCCAAAGACTATATCCAATACCCATCAAAGCTCATGTTCCTATAAGTCAGATGATTAATCCTCAAATAATAAGGACAGCATAATTAACACTGTCATCTTATTCCAAATAAAATGAATCATCAAATATCCTGACAGATTTAAAGTGGATTATATAGGAAGTAGTAAAGCTCAGAAGCATTCTATGGTAACTGAGCTAAAGAGAGGAATGACAAATGTAGTAAAACCCATCATTACCAATGAGGATCACCAAATTCTTAGAAATAAGCAGTTAACTCAAAAACATTTGCGTTTTAAAAAAGTCCTTAAGCCACTTCTGAGTGAAACAAACAATAACCACAATTTAAAAATTTTTTCCTGTTTTTTTCTTATAGGCCATTAGTGTTCTTTGAAAACTTGCTCCCTGAGAGATCCCAGACTATGTCAAGTAAGGAAACTAAGAGTGAGCTTGAAGTTGATCTTATTTAAAAAATAAATCTGTATTAGCTTTATCACTTTTTATATCACTATAACCCTTAATATTAAGATGTCAGAATGGTAAAATCAACTTCTAATACAGTTCTCAGAATACTTGGGGGTAAATTTAGTATCCATAGAAAATTGATTTTATAGTCAAGGATTTAACTGATGGTGCCGAAAAACAAATATAATATTACTTTAAGGGGAAAGACTTTGTTTTAATTTGTACCACCCAGCTTATTTAGTGAAGTAGAGTATGAACTACTGATTTATTGCTTTTAATATGATGAAACACCAGATTTGACAGCTAAATTAGCAGTAGGATACAAGTACATTTTTATCTTTAATCATTTTTGCAGAGGACATGTACATATCCATATAAAAAAAAGACTGTAGCAGATGCCTCCTAGAATCAACCAGTTCTTGTAAACATTGCATTTGTGCAGATTTTCATACTTTGATTCCAAAATTGAGAACAGTAAGATTAAAGGCAAGTTTTAGTAGCCAAAAAACCCCCCAAAAAGTCCAGTTTGACTTCCTGAAACATATCGTACCACTCCTCTCTTCAGAAAAACAAAACAAAAAGACCTAGCAGCACATAAAAAAAAAAAAATTTACAAAACGTTTCAGTACTCTTTTTTTTTCCCTCCCATCAAAAACCAAACAAAAATAAAGTGCAGCACCCATAAAAGTGTCAAGAAAATAGCCAAGTTCTTCCTTTCTTGTAACAAAATAGCACTTGGCTTCAGCAGTCTTAACCAAATTATACAGTGTCCATCATTTTGGGTTCATCATCTTCTTTATGTACCACTGAGTTTAAACCGCAGAGAGCTGTATTGATAGAATACTGAAGATAATCTGGATTCTGGAAAAAGAAAAAGTATAGAGAAGAAACAATGGATGATAATAACCAGTTTTATGTCAGTATATGCAACTACATACTCAGTTTCGCATTCTCTATTTTTCTGCAGTGTAGCAGAGTAGGAAAAAAGATGGACTTTGAAGTCATGATTGGGTAGAAACCCAAGATAAAGAAAAAAATGAGACTATTACCACTTAATCCAAAGAGATGTGATAAAGACAGAATGATGTATGTGAAAAATAGAAATATAATAAACACTATCTTTTTCCTCTTTAAAAAAACTGTATAATTTTAATTATTTAATCATATAAGGTTGTATCTTCCATGTGATTATATGTTCACAGCTATTGATAATTTAAAAGATAAATGTGGCTTTAAGCAAGCAATGTATTTTGATGATTACCATCTAATTACAACAGTAAATACTAAAATTGCAAAACGCCTGAATAAGGAAAAAAATTTACCAAGTAAAAATTATAGCTATCTTCAGAGTCTATTTTGGTTTCTCAAAGGTTAAAACAAACTCAAGTGAGGAATCAATCTTTTGAAAGGTAACTAGACTCCTATTTAAAAAGTTAAAAACAAAAACAAAAGAAGTTTAATTTAGGTTTTATTTTTTAAACAGAAGAACAACTCACAAATGTTCTAATCTGTTCATTTCTAAAGTAGGAACAGAAAACCTTATTCAATAAGTGCAAAAGTAAAACCATTGTTTAAGTACCACAAATAAGGAACGCTAAATCCTTAAAACCTAGGACTTTTGGAAATTCTTTCCCAAGAATTCAGTATTGTCTACTCAGTTGCTCTGAATATGTGCTAGCTATTTAGAGGTTTTTTTTTTTTTTAACATATCACCTACTTTCATTTATTTTATTTGATAAACACCAGTGAGGAAAACAGTCAAAACAGGGTATCGACATCTTAAATCTCTCCATCCCAGAAGGAGGCAGGGTTTTCAAAAGATCTTATTAATAAAGTACAAAGCTTTATGATTCTTTTATTGTAAAAGTCAAAAAGCAAGCCAGAGGTTAGCTGGATTATTCCCAATCAAATCTTTATGAAGAAAGTGGCACAAATAATTGACTAAGGTTTGGGACACTAAAATAACTCTGGACCTCAGTTCTAACCTTGCCTCTACCACTTAGTATAATGCTATCCTCAAAGAGAAAATAATTTATCAACATTTAATAAAATTAAAAGCTAGTATATAGGATAGTCTAAGAACAGTCACTATGTCTCTATCCAATAGGCCTTGGTTTAGTTCTTTCAAAACTAAGGATAATGCTATTTGGCTTATTTCATAAGACTGTTGTCAATTAAAAAAATAAATTAAAAGCTAAAGTGTTACCCAAATTTAAGTTTTATAAAAAAATTATTAGTAATCTTCCTACATTATCCCATTCTCCAAAGGAAGAGTGCTAAATCTTTTTTTTCTGACCACCCAGGCCCAATTCTAAAGGGCTTCAGAACAGAGCTTACACACTCCAGCAAGACTAGGCTCTAGTTTTTCACTAGAGAATTTTGAGTATTAAGATTCGCTAGAGAGATTTTCTAGAATTCAACTACCATCTCCTTAAGAACAGAAGGCATTATCATGGAAAGACTTAAAAAAAAAAAACAATCAATATACCTAACCTAACGTACACCTAAATCCTACTGACTACCTCATATTCTCATCTAGTATCATCCTCAACACATTTCTTGTCCCAGAGACCGGTTCTTCCCAAGAGCATGTGACTGAGCATTTTGTCTTATTTCTAGGATATGATTCAACAATAGTCTATGATGCTGGTGAATGAGCAGTGCAGTAAGACAGAAATCCAGGATTTGAATATTAGCTCCAACGGGGGAGGGTATAGTGCAGTGGTAGAATGCATGTCTAGCAAGCATGAGGTCCTGGGTTCAATCCCCAGCACCTCCAAAAAGAAGAAATAAATGAACAGTTAAACCTAATTACCTCCCCACCAACAAAAAATAAATAAAAAGATTAAAAAAAAAGAATATTAGCTCCATCACTTATTGTATTGACTTCAGGCAAATTACTTAACCTCCAGGAGTTTCAATTTATTCATCCGTAAAATGAATGAAAATGAATCAGGGTTTTTGAGCAGATTAAGTGATACACCATGTAAAAGTGTTTTGCAATCTATAAAATAATACAATGAAAATGGGATGTTATTATTATGGTAAGTTGTTCTTCCGAATCTCCTCTCAGGTGACAACTTAGTCCCTCAGGTTGCCTCTCATGTTACCCTATTTCCCTCAAACAGATGACAGTGCTCCTGTATATCTAGCTGAAATCTTATCTTTTCCTTCCTATGTTTAGAATCAACAATATCCTTCAAAAGTCTCTTTTTTCCTTTGCATTCATTATGTGACATCTTAATTTTAGGACGTTTATACATCAGACTTTACAGTGACTTAGTCATAAAATTCCTTGGGAAAGACTGCTTTCCTGTGGGCTATGTCTCATGGAACTGAAGAAAAAAATTGTCTTTATTTAAACAGCATTAAGAGATAATCTGTAGGACAAATCAAGGGGGAATATCACTTACATGTCTAACTAAGGGGTAACATTACTAATTACTTAAAAATCAGACCTTGATTATTTCCATCCTTGAGAGCAATATTTTTGGCTGAGCTGAATATGATCAACTGCTTTTCTTAAATTGTACCTTTGGCCTACAATACATGTAACTGGAATAGTGAAATTATAGAGACATAAGGTCAAGATATTAAAAAATCTCAATTCCTACCACTTCATGAGATTTAAAAATAAGTATAGAACTCCTCTCACATTGTCTTTTGAATGAGACTTCCCTTTTCACTGTGCAGGCGACAGACTAAACTGGCTAAAGTTGGTCTTAAAGTCTTGAGGCATGAAAATGAGAGATGACTGGTTCATTTAAATGCCACTAAAACCAAAATGGACAGCAACTTTCTAATGATAACTTAAAATTACAATCTTAAATAGTATCAGGAAGACCAGTGGTCCAACCTCCTCTTTTTGACATAAATTCTTTCACACTGACACAGTTTTATTTTAATGTAATAGCAGACTTCCAAGAAGCTTAAACAGTTGGCCAATATTATCAGAAAGAATAGCTTAGCATTAGTTACATTAATGTGTAATAAAACGTCACATCTAGTAGGTAACACCAACATTTAAAAAGATAATACTAATAAACTTGTGCAACAGATCACCTTGGTTGCTACTTGGACATATACTCTGAAGCTAATTCATCTTAATAAATTCTTAAGATATAGTTCTACTCAGGTGTTCCTTAGGAGCTATCCTGAGAAGTTTATGACTGAGATGATCAATACATAACACTTGTTCTTAAGAATGCTTAGGCAGATCTCATCTCTTCTATATTTAAAAGAGTGGAATTTGGTGTCTCTCTAAATACATAAGAGATGGCATGAGATGAAACTCAAGAGTTGTCTTCTGAGGCAAGAACATTTAAAAAGACTACACATATATAACATGTAAGAAGAAACAGTAGTCCAAAAGAGCAAAAATTATGTGAATGAATACATTTATAAAATAAATATTCACTTTCCTAACCTACCTGTGGTAAGGATTCTAATAAACCTATAGATCCAACACCAGAATGGGGAACATGATTCTGAACAGCCACAGGTTGAAAACTTGGTGATTGAGAATAAAGTCTGACTCTTGACTTGAAAGCTTCAAGTTCATTTTTGAATGCTTCAAAATAACCTTCTTCCTCTGCCTAGAAAACACAAAAAAGAGACTTTTTTTTCCTTCAAGACTTCCAGACCACACTGTAAATTCTAACAAGCATACGTCAGGCCTGAAGTGGAAGAAGTAAAGATGAGGTGAATTATTTAAATGTAGAGACCACCAAGATCCATGTCAGACTTGTGAAAACTGCCTATTTTACACAAAATTAAGATTGGTTTGTTCCATTTTCCTCTGCTTCAGCAAAATAAAACAGATGAGTAAGAAACAACATCTCTTCATACATACATAGAGATATAATGAACTAAATAGACTTCCTCTGTATTTCTCTAATCTGTATCTTGACAGGATCCAATACAGCCCTCATTTTTTTTTTGGTGTTCACTTATTCTTTATTACAAAAATGTTATACATAAAGAAGAGTACATAAAACATACATATACAACTTTTAAAATAATTACAAAGTTAGCATCCACCACTTGTGTTGAGACATAGATGACTGGTGCCTTAGAAGAGTCTTGTGTTCAGCCTTCCGTCTCTGACTTCATCCCTCCCTTCACTGCTATTCTAATGTTTGTCATAATAATTTCTTTACTTTTCTTTATAGTTTTATCATTTATGCATTATCCCTAAAATATATATTTAGTTTGCCTGGTTTTGAACTTTATTTAAATAAAATCTTCCTACATGCATTTGCAAAACAGCCCTCATTTAACCTCTACCATTCTTCTCTCCTCTTCCCACTGCCAAGCCAACAACCAAGGGATTTTCTTAAAACTTTTTGATTCTCCATCAGTTAATGAGGGGCAGTCTAACCTGCTATTAGTAATTCTCACACTTTAAAATCCCTATTTGTAAAAGCCATGAAAAACAATCACAGTCAACATTCAACTTCATTATGGAAATATCTTAGTGTTTTAGTTAAGCAAGTACCTTCTTTTCAAGATTACGGAAAGAAAAATATGGGTTATGTTGAGAGGGTGCTTTCTCCAACAATGTATATAAGTAAAATTCTTGATGCAGAACACCCTTGTGGCAGTAGCCTCCATTTATAAATGTCTCCTTTGCAGATAAAACATGACACAGCATATCCTACACTAACAGAACATAAGTTTTGCGTTCAAGTGGTGGAAGAGATTTTTGTCAAGTCCCATTATTGAATATCATTGGTCCCGTTTGTCTGCAATGGTATTTTTTTTTAATGTGGTTTATGTTGTGTAACTGGATTAAAATCTATGGATTAATGATTAGCATCATTATCTATACAAATAATGCAGACAGTGTTCTGTGCTGCCATCCTATATTTTTATGAATATATAAATCATTTCCTTAATTATATTACAGTACTTTGCTTTTGTCACTATATGTTACTTGTGTAGACACATGGAATGTTAGCCTTCATATCCAAAAGTAATCCTTCTGAAATGGTTATGCAACCATTAAATGAATCAAGTGACACAACTGCTGACCTTCGCATGCCTAAGGCCTAGGGATTTAGAGCTAGAGAGACTTGATTTTTACTTTATTAAGTAATCTATGGGTTACTTGCTCAATTTTCCTATGCTAATTTCCTGACTTGTAAAAAAGAAATAATAATCCTTATAAAATGTTAGTAGAATTTAATGAGTTAATCCGTGTAAAGTGCTTAGAATAATAATGTGGCACAAAGTAAGCACCCCATGAAAATTATTCCTTAATTTAAAGAAAAATTATTAAGACCTATAGATTTCAGAGCCCTTCAGTTCTATTTTATCAAAGTAAATTTTGAAGTATATGTATAGTTTGGCTATGTTCCATTATCCTATTAAGCACTAGGTCAAACATATCATTAACGTAAGATGAAAAAGAATTTTTTTTATGCCTGTGTGTTAAGTGAAAATTTTGAATAGTCATCAGAAGCCTAATTAAAATACCAAGTCAATGTTTTACTCATTAAAACTACTATTTGGGGAAAATTTCCTATTTTAATAGTCGAAGTCAAAGAAGGTAGGACTACTGCCACCCTGATACAATTTTTTTTAATTTAAAAATAAAATGTTTTCCTCTATTTATAAAAAGAAGTATGTTCATTGTGGTATATGAAAAAGAAAATGGAAATCATTTATAATTCTACCATCCAACTATAATCAAAGTTAAACCTTTGGTGTATTTCCTTCTAACTTCTAATTGTGTATGCTAAAATGTACCATACATGCAAAAACCAGCATGTAAAATATGTAAGTACAGTTTATTGGGCAAAACCCCAACTATATACCCACAGAAATTAGGAAATAGGTCATTCCATCTAAGTTTCAAAGAGCATTCCATGTCTCTCTCTCTCTGAGGTTACCTTTATCATGACTTGTCTTAATCACTCTTTTGCCTCTTCAGTTTTACCACTTATTTATGTATCCCTCAACAACACAGTGTTTAGTTCTGCTTGTTTTTGAACTTAATAAAAAACATAAAATATTTTTTTTAATGATACCGGATATATCATTCTTTGACTTTTTTTTTTACTTTCTTGTCTTTTTTCAATCCATGCCAATGCTGATTAGTATTTTACCAAGTGAACATACCACAATTTATTCATTCTACTGTTTGAACAGACATTTGGGTTGTTCCTAGACTTTTTGCTATTATGAACAGTTCTATGATGTGCACATGAGTTTCTCTAGGGCAGCAATTCTCAAACTTCCCTGTTTATGTGGGCTATTATCTATCAATATTTATGTGTGTCAGAAATTAAAACTGAGGAATTTAGAAAATATTAACTGAAATATAATAACAAACTCATTATATATTAACATTTATAATATATTTTTGTTAAGAAACTATATTTCCAAAACAAAAAAATTTAGTGAAAAGCCTGGCTTAATAGAAGATAGCGGATTCACACATTTTGTATCAAGCTCTGCTATACAGTCATGAGAGAATGAGCATGAAAATGACAAATAACATCTTAACACTTGATCTTAGCCAAAAGGCCGAGAAGCGATGACAAATAACATCTTAGAATTATCGTGAAAATAGTTTTGACTCAGGGCCTCCTGAAAAGGTCTTAAAGACCATCAAGTGTCCCTGGACCCCACACTGAGAAATCTATTCTCTAGGGTATATATACCTAGGAGAATTTCTGGGTGTTAGCACTTGTTCAAATTTACCAGGAAATTTTCCAAAGTGGTTATACCAACTTATACTCCCGTAGGCAGTGACTGTGAATTCTTATTGCTCTACTTCTTGTACAACTTTCAAACTATTACTAATCTAGTGAGTGTGAAATGCTGTTTAATCTTTCTAGACATAATTATTTTTCTTTAATACAGCTGACATCATCTGTAAATATAAATATGTATCCCTTCTTTTGGCTCTATAGCAAAGCATTTTCTCAGATCATTAAAAATTCTTCATAAATATAACTTTGATGGCTACATAATGCTCTGTGTAGCACAGGTATGTTTTTAACCATTCCTCTAATTTTCCTGAATACATACATTCATTTGAATGGGTCTCAATTTCACATACGTGCTACAGTACAACCTTTACATAGCTCCCTTAAGTCTAAATTAGCATAAAAACACAAATATAAATTTTTATTAAAAAGATCTTCAGAATTTAGCATGTAGCATCCTAGATGGATAGTTTCCTTTGATGCGTATGGACAAAAGAGGTCTCAGATAAAGCTTAACCTTCCCATTTAGAAACACCAAACAGCTACTTACTTTGGCTTTCTGGAAAAATAAACGAAAACATCCTCTTGGATCCACATTACAGTTTTTGGCCATTTCCATAATAAACTGCATTACAACAGCTTGATGTGCTATTTGTTCCATTAGAGCCCCTTTCTGAAAATAAACATTAAAATTATTATCTCTGGAAATATATTTAATATTGTGATTACTACTTGGGTTTTTAAAACATGATGTTTAACTAGGTTAAAAAAGAAAAAACCTTTATAATATACAGGAACAAGAGAAATGGGGGGGCGGGGGGGACAGGGAAAGCACATGGGTAAAAGTTTCCCTATGCTAACTGAAATAACTAAAAAAAATTCCAATGATAAGTAGACCTGAAAACAAAACAAAACAAAAAATTGTAATTTCATTTAATGACCTTCCTGCTTTCATTTAAAATAAGTAATGTAAAAAACAAAACATAGAAGTAAACCAGAATTCCACTAAGGTTCCCAGAAATTCAGGGTTCACATGATACCTGTTCAGCTTCTAGATGAAAACACCATAAAATAAGATATTTAGCAGTTTCTTCACATACAAGGTATGGATAGTCAGACAAAAATCTCTGACTATCATCCCATCGACTTAACATACCTGTAAAAAAAGAATTAAACCATGAATGTCAAATACTTTCCTCTCGTAAACAAAAAAAATGGTATTTTTAAATGTCTCTTTAAAGACAACTCACATTACCACAGCAATATTTTATGGTAAAAGAGGAAATAAAGAAGGATAATAAAGCAAAACCCAGTACATTGGAACTAGCTTTCAAAATTCAGAGTTTTATTTCAAATAATTTGTCAGCCTAAAGTAGGGTGACTGGTTTAAAGCCACAAGTCTTGCATCTGGGAAATGCCTTGAAGACCTGGGCAAAGAGAGATGGCTGGTCATCCTTGGGTAAAGTCAGTACAGATAATTTCAAGAGATGCAATATTATTTATTCATGGAATACAAATTTTTCTATTAGAAAGATACAAAAGAAAGCAAAACTTCTAGAAACTACACTTGGCAAACAAAGACTTAATAAAAGATTTTTAAAATCTACATTTTTCCCAATTTATTAAAACATGTCTAAGATGATATAGTAAAATGCTGATGGCATGGGAAACCAATCCAGTGTTATAACAGTAAATAAATTTTAACCGTTTGAGTCATGTTAACCATTTAGTCATGATGACTATATACACAGAGAAAAAAATTTTTTAAATTAGTTAATATTTGAAAATGGCTGCTATTTTGCTTCAAAATACCAAACTAACCTAAACTACTAAAGGTATCCTTTCATCTTTACCCAAATTAGTAAGAAATCTGGTCAAAAAGTCAATACCAGTCAAGTAATCACAGAACCAGTAAAGTGCTGGGCTTTATACTCATCCAACCAAGAAAGTGTGGATGTAGGTGAATCATCATGGAAATTTTATAAGGCTATCTCAATAGTTTGTCAATAATTTTTCCTCTAGATACAAAATGAATTTCTATATATTAACATTCCACATCAGAACACAAGAAAAAACAAAACTGAGGACAAACGTCTTATTGAGAAATACACAGTAACACATGGATATCAGCTGAAAATAAATGATTTTCTCCTTATTTAAAAAATTGAAAAAAAAAGCATTTAGCATTTTCTCATAAAGAGTTTAACAAGCTTGATAAGGTTATTTCCTCAACACTTTGAATACACTGATTAGGTCATTTTAAATTCTGAGAAACTGATATTTAAGTTACTTAAAACTACTTCTCAAAATATAGGTGATTTAAAATGTTGCATTAGTTTCTGGTGTACAGCATGGACATACTTGGAGGGCATTATGCTAAGTAAAATACGTCAGACAGAGAAAGACAAATACTATTATCACTTCACATGTGGAATCTAAAAAAATACAACAAACTAGTGAATATAACAGAAAAGAAACAGACTCACAGATGTAGAGAAGGAACTAGTGGTACCAGTGGGGAGAGGGAAGGGGGAGGGGCAAAATGGAGGATTAAGAAGCACAAACTATCAGGTATAACATAAGCTACAAGGATATATCGTACAACATGGGGAATATAGCCAATATTTTATAATAACTATAAATGGAGTATAACCTTTAAAAATTTGTGAATCACTATACTGTATACCTGTAACATATAATATTGTACATCAACTATACTTCATTTTAAAA